TGTGCTATAACTAATCCTAATTAACAGCTGCTTCGTGGACGCGTAGCGTGTGTGCGCTGTAGCCAGCATCGTCGCTGACCTTCTTGTGCCACGCGGGAATCTTCAATGGCATCTCGCCGCTAGCCTTGTTTTGCAATTAGGTGTGTTTTCCGGCATCAGCTTGTTCGGCTTTCGTTGTGTCGCCATGGTAGGCCTTGTGCCCGGCCTTGTTGACGGCGGCAGCGGGCGGCTGCTGGTACACCCGCGGCGGCTTGTTCGGCTTTCGTTGTGCTGCCGTGGTAGGCCTTGTGCCCGGCCTCGTTGATGCCCGCGACGGTGTTGCCGTGGTAGGCCTTGTGCCCGGCCTCGTTGATGGCGACAACGGGCGGCTGCTGGTACATCGGCGCCGGCGATAGTGCTAGCGCTGACCAGTAGTTGTTCATGCCGACGAGCGCGCAGGGGAGCGCGTCGCAGACGAACTCCCTCTCGATATCCACGGCCTCGGAGACAATCTCGAAGACTCGGGATTTGTCGAGCTTGCTGAAGAGGATGTCGTAGAGGAGGCAGGCGAAGTCGTAGTGCAGGCTCTCATCGCGGGAGATGAGCTCATTGGAGAACATGAGGCCCGACCTTATTGGACGACGACGACGGGCGGCTGCTGGTACACCCGCGGCGGCTTGTTCGGCTTTTGTTGTGCTGCCGTGGTAGGCCTTGTGCCCGGCCTCGTTGATGCCCGCGACGGTGCTACCGTGGTAGGCCTTGTGCCCCGCCTCGTTGATGCCCGCGACGGTGCTGCCGTGGTAGGCCTTGTGCCCGGCCTCGTTGATGGCGACAACGGGCGGCTGCTGGTACATCAGCGCCGGTGATAGTGCTAGCGCTGACCAGTAGCTGTTCATGTCGACGAGCGCGCAGGGGAGCGCGTCGCAGATGAACTCGCTCTCGATATCCACGGCCTCGGAGACAATCTCGAAGACGCGGGATTTGTCGAGCTTGCTGAAGAGGATGTCGTAGAGGAGGCAGGCGAAGTCGTAGTGCAGACCCTCATCGCGGGAGATGAGCTCGTTGGAGAACGTGAGGCCCGGCCTTATTGGACGGCGATGACGGGCGGCTGCTGGTACACCGGCGCCGACCAGTAGCCGTGCCCGTGGTCCCTCTGCTGTAGTCGTCCCATCCACGGCCGAAGCATGTGTGCATTCTACTGTAATGTTTCTTTTTTTTGAAATAAAACGAAACTTTATTCATTAGAAATAACCAATACATCGTTTGTGAGGAGGAGTACAATTTCATTGATAGGCTCCTCGAACCAATCTGAAGTTGAAGAAAATCTAGCTAACTTAGCAAGTTCATGTGCTACTCTATTTGCCTCTCTATTACAATGTTCGAATCTAGTCACGATAAAATCACATGCGTAGTGGAAGCAGTCATCGAAAATTGCCGCTGCCGCACCCGTTGACTGTCTTCCATCCTGCATGGTCTCAATCACCTCCAGATTATCTGAGTTGATGATTAGGCGGTTGCACCCTGCCCTTTGCGCTAGTGTTAGTCCAAATTTGAGGGCTAAAGCTTCTGCCGTCAGAACATCCGCACAATGGTCAATCTTTTCATTTCCTCCTGCAATAAACCTACCTTTGTCGTCTCGCAAAACCGCCCCCATCGTACCCTTTAGCATGTCATGGTCAAAAGAGGCGTCAACATTGAGTTTCACGAAACCCCTTGGGGGACAATGCCAACCCCCTTTTTTCATGGACGCCTTTGAAGATGATGCATTTACAAACTTGTATGTGAGGGCTATGATCCCCATTGATATCTGAGTTGCATTCTGAGTTGTTTCCTTGTGCACTAATTTCCTTCTCTCCCACCATAGATACCAAGCTGAAATAGCTATCATTTCTCGTATATTTTGGTACCCCATAATACGCAAATCTTGATCTGGAAGAACTAAAAGGTATTCCAGTATCGCCTCTCCAGCACGATCAACCTCACAAGCTCTATCAATAATCTCATCTATTCCTAGCCTCTTCCAAACCTCCTTTGCTTTATTACATAGGAAAAGCATATGCTTCGTGTCTTCTACACCCTGAGAGCAAGTAGGACAAAGGGGCGAGACCTTCATGTGTCTATTAGCAAGTGTTGCCCGACATGGGAGAGTGCCATGTAACGTACGCCATATAAATTTTTTGACTTTTGCCGAACAGGATAATTTCCATATCTGACACCAAATAGGGTTAGTTGTGGTTCGCCCCATCCCGTTAGAGTGTTTTAGTTTACTGCCGTACTGATCATTCCACTTCACGGAATAAGCAGACCGTACCGAGAACATACCATTTTTCGTATAACTCCAAGCAATGAAATCTGACATGTTATGTTGCGAAAGAGGGATTTTAAGAATCCATTCAGCGTCAATGGGCCACATAGTTTGTCTAATCAGGTCCTCATCCCAAATATTGGAAACAGGGTCAATCAGATCAACCACTCTTGATAACAATTGTCCCCTCCTAGGAGTCACAATCTTACTAGTGGCGCAATTTGGGATCCATGCATCTTCCCAAATGTTGATGTTATGTCCGTTTCCCACTCGCCAAATATAGCCGCGTTTCAGAGTAGTAATGCCTGCCATAATGCTTTGCCATGTGAAGGAAGCACCATGTTTTGGCTTGGAATTCAGCAAATCGCCATCAGGGTAGTACTTGGCCCTTAGAATAGTGGCACATAAGGAATCAGGATTATCAAGGAGACGCCATGCCTGTTTGGCCAGCAGAGCCAGGTTGAAATAGTGGATATCACGGAATCCCATTCCTCCTTGGGTTTTTGGTACACACATTTTCCACCAGGCCATCCAGTGCATCCTCCTCTGGTTCTCCTCGTCTCCCCACCAGAAATGCGTTATCGCGTCAATGATTCCTCTATAATTTTTTTAGGAATTTTAAAGACCGACATTGCATAGGTAGGTATGGCTTGGATCACAGCCTTGAGCAGGATCTCCTTCCCCCCGGTAGATAGTAGTTTTTCCTTCCAACCACTAATTTTCTTAACAATACGTTCAATCAGAAATTTAAAGCAGTCTGTTTTATCAACGCCCACATTTGCTGGCAAGCCCAAGTATTTGTCATTCAGGGCCTCCATCATTATATTGAGCATTGTACACAAGTGTTCTCTGACCTCTACCTTTGTATTGGGGCTAAAGAAAATACTAGACTTTTCCACGCTTACCAGCTGTCCCGACGCCGCACAATATAAATCTAGTGCTGATTTCAGGGCCGCCGCATTATGTTGGTTGGCTTTCATCAAGATCAACGAGTCATCCGCAAAGAGGAGATTAGTTACTGGTGGGGCATCTCTACAGACTTTAACTCCTGAAATGTTCCCATTCTCCTCAGCATGCGAGAGCAAGGCATTCAACCCTTCTGTGCACAGCAGGAATAGGTAAGGTGATAGCGGGTCCCCCTGTCTCAACCCTCTAGTAGGCTTAAAACTCTCACTTTCCTCTGCATTTATCCTTACTTTGTATTCTACTGATGTGACGCATTGCATAATCAAATTAACCCACTCTCTACGGAAACCCAATTTCAGCATAATCTCCTTCAGAAAAGCCCACTCGACTTTATCGTAGGCTTTGTGCATGTCAAGTTTTATAGCACATAAGCCCTCTCTACCCTCTCTTTTGTTCTTGATTGTGTGAAAACATTTGTAGGCCACTAAAATATTATCGGTTATCAATCTTCCTGGTACAAAAGCACTTTGTGTTGGACTAATAATTTCTGGTAGAAGGATCTTCAATCGAGAGGCCACCATTTTTGCAATTATTTTGTATACCACATTACATAAGCTGATCGACCTAAATTGGGATACCTTTTCTGGTGTGTTAATCTTGGGAATCATCACGATTGCAGTATCATTCCAATCATCCGGGATAGTACATGTGTTGATTGCTTTCAGAACCTCCTCAATTAGGTCTTCCCCTAGCATGGGCCAGAACCTTTTATAGAAGATAACATGGAGTCCATCTGGTTCTGGAGCTTTCAAGTCCCCAATATCAAATAAAGCCTTGCGAACATCTTCTGCGGTATAAGGAGCAAGTAGAGCATTGTTCATTTCGTTTGACACTCTCTTACGCACAATTGATAAAACTTCTTGATCCGGATGCTGAACTTCCGATGTGAAAAGCTTTGTGAAATATTCAGTTGTGTGATTCGTCAACTCCTTTTCTGTTAACCATTTTCCAGACTCATCTAATAGTTTCTTTATATTATTCCTTTTTTTCCTAGCTGTGGCAGCATTATGGAAAAAAGACGTATTACCAAAAATGTTTTTGTTAAGTATAGTTGTTAATTTCTAATCACCAAGCATATATGCAACCAAACACTGGATGAAAATTGCTTTCACAATGCCAAGAGAACTACCAAAAATCGATGCAACTAACCAAACACGCCATAAAGGAAGGAGCATGCTATGTAGGTCAGCAGATAGACCAAATTTGATTCTCAAAGCCTGCATGGATGGTGTGCACTCAGCCAAACACGCCCCAAACGTTTCAGAGCGTTGCAATGTTCGCTTGTCCCTGGTCCTTCCCCTCTCTTTTGTCCTCCGTCGTCTCGCCCTTCCCCCTCTCGTCTCCACAGTCCACACACAATCAAGAGAGGGAGAAGAACCAAATCCCCAACGACTCGCCCGCCACCACGCACGCAGCCGGAGCAAACAGCTCATGCACCAAGGCCAATGCAATAATAATCGTCCCGGGCCCACGTCAAAGCGGGACCCACTGGACGACCCCTGCACTGTCGTCCAAATTCAATTCTACTGCAACCAACGAACAAAACAGGACGGGCAAAAGCGAAGAGAGAGAGGGAGAGGAGAGAGAGCCCCCAGCCTACAAGCCACCGGCCACCACCAGATGTGAGACGAACAGAGACAAGCCGACGAGAGGTTAGTTTAAAAACTTTGCGCCGAGAGGAGATTTGCGGCGTGGGGACTGGGGAGGAAGACCAATTGGGCGAAATTCTGCGCCGGCGCGGAGGCGGCCAATGGGAGGGGCGGAGGCCGCCGTCGTGGAGGCCGCGTCGACCGCTGCGGCAGCGGAGGCCGCCGAGGGCGGGGAGGACGGGCGGATGGAGGGGTGGCTCTACCTGATCCGATCCAACCGCCTAGGGCTGCAGACCTCGCGCAAGAGGTACTTCGTGCTCGAGGACTCCGCGCTCCGCTGCTTCAAGGCCGCCCCGGCGCCTTCCTCCTCCAGCTCCAAGCGCGAGGTGCCAGCCCGCATCTCCCTCGTTCTCCCCGCCCGTCCTCTGGGTCTCGCTGGCATTGTTTTCGCGGAAATTTCACGGCACTTTGGTCGGGTCTTATAGCACGATCCTGCTAAGGTTCACGGGGAATTTGATTGGATTTATGCCGATTTTAATCCCGTGCGTGTTCGGAGGATCCTCAACTGGATTCGCCACCAACTCCAGCCTAGTATCTAGGGGAAGTTGATTTCTATTATAACCACCGGTAGGTTTTGAGATATATATAGTCATAAATGCATGCGAATTTTATTCGTGCTGCAGAGACGCATGGTTACTTTTGCGACTGCTTGGGGCTAGTACTGTTTGTTCCTCAGGATGTTCGGATTTTACTTCCGTCCATAATAGTTAGAGTAACACAAGCCAATCCAGTGCGCTATCCACGATGATTCTCTTAGTATGGCATGTTGTTGTGTGACGTTTACTTCAGACCCCTCTTATGGAACAATGATTTGCTAAAAAAGGAAGGATCACCACAATGATCCTCTTAGTATGGCATGTTGTTGTGTGACGTTTACTTCAAACCCCTCTTATGGAACAATGATTTGCTAAAAAAGGAAGAATCACACAGCTGCACACGAACTATTGTACCTCCTCTGTTTGCCTGTTTCTCTGCATATGTGGGAACAATGATCCATTGACTGTCAGTTCAGTACCGTTGATATCAATTTTGAGTGAAAAGGGAAGTCATTTCTTAGGGAACTGAGTTATGCTTAACAACGAAAGCACATCTGTCTTGGGAGGGAAAGGAATGGCATATCGATCATGCATATTTTTTTTGGTAAAGGGTGTTTTTATTAGCTCAAAATGTAGCATCAAGCGGATACAAGTCATGATGAGCAACACCCGGCCTCTGCATAGCTTCTTGCACACAGCCACACACCAACAGTCTGACAGAAAATATATTAAAAACGACATGACGACAACAGTAAAGCCATAAAAGACTGACACTGCCTATGCCTAAGTCGCAGGAGAAGGTGGACCAATCCATAGATTATGTTGCCACGCATGTTGGGTAAAACCTCCCTGGCCATCCGCTCCAATCGCGTACACACCGCCTTGACAATGATTGGTACTCCGCACGATGTATTGTAGACCACGTATGAAGGAAGTGTGTACAGCGGAAAATAACCTGCAATGGAGTAGGGTTTTTGTTATTGAAAACAAAATCATTTCTACATAGCCAAAGCGACCATAATAAGGCAGACGCTCCCACCCTTATTAGTGTTCTGAACCTATTTGGAACTCCATTCAGCCATATTGATCATGCATATGCTATTCCATAAACTCTCATTTTCTCTCATTTTCTGCGACAATTTTTTTTGCTCCACTTGTATGTTCTTTTGAAATATGATGTTATGC